GGATGGATATGGATAGAATTCTACCCACAGAGATCTCTTCGATCAGCCCTGATGGAGGCATGAACTTCGGGTCGAAACGTCGACAAATGTTAAAATAAATATTATTATTTATTATTGCCATTTTTATTTTGACTGATCACCCCAAATATCCTTCTCTTCACCATTTCTATATTTATTTATATTTCATAATTGTTATATTTATTTGTTTAAGTATTAGTATATAACCAAATTTTTATTTTTATATTATTGTAATTAATACAAATGTAATACTGTATGAATGTATACAATGAGGTTGTTTGAATTTTATGTCTTACCACTTTACGTTTTTGAAAAAATTGTAAGATTAAAAAAATAAAAATAATCTTAACATTTAGTTCATATCTTCCAATTTATTTTTGATTAACTTGCAATTTTCATAAATATAATAGAATTTTTTATAAACATGAAATAAAATAAAAACTGAAAGAAACTAACGAACTCGCTACTTAGCTCGTTGCGGATAACAAGAGCCTCCGCCTACATACCTCCATCGAAGCCCGTCAAAACCCAAACCTAAGGTCAGACTAAACAGAATCCTCCCGTCTATTTTTGGCCAACTCCTCACATTGTTACCTAAATGTTGATTCGCTGCAAAATTCATTCTATTTTTACAAATAACAACAAAATATAAATATGAATCAATTCTTTTTTGAAAGTAATAGTCCATATACTCTTATGAAGGATTCAATAAATTTTATCCGAAAGTATATCGGAGTTCCAATTAGAAATAAGAATTTTTATTAATAGAACATGCAGACAAATCTTCCGATAAAAGTTATTGGGTGCCTGTAACAAAGCCCAAATTTACTACTTTCTTGTTAGGAGTTCTTTACAGAATATTATGTTCCTTTTAGTCATAATTTTCCCGAAATAATAGCCATTTCTATAGGACGTAGGAGACAGAAGGATTTTGCTTAGTTAAATTCGTAAACGGACAATAAATTAAATTCAAAAACAAAACTTGAGAACACAAGTCAATAGTTCAATAGTTATTAAAATATTTCTCAGTTTTTCACTTAAATATACCATTAAACCACTGTTAATCTCTTTTCCATACAAATTGTTGGCAAAAGGTTATATGAAGGAAACCTTTACTAATTATGTGTTTTCTTAATGTGTTATATATTTATGTGTTATATATTATATTATATTCCATTATACATTATATTATGTTCCAATCATATGTTTTCTCGCTGAAGAAGGGATCTTTAAAAATCTCAGAACTCTCTCGCAGCACTTTCTACCTCTTTTTTATTTATTTATTTATAATTTTATTATTATCCTTTTTATTACTTAACATGCTAACTTTAATTATCTAAAGTTCAATAACTGTAAACAATTTTAACCTTAACGTGCATTTAACGTTTTCTTTTCAATTTTATTATATTGCTATTATTCACCTAGAGAAGATATACTAATATATAATTTTAATTAACGGCGTTGATGAGCAACAGGTTTTACACCTTTACTATACAACAACCAACCAACCTCTATCAATTTAAAATTATTTATTTATTAGTTGTGTTCCCCTATCTACTTTACTACTTGACAAGAACATTGATGTGGCACTAATTACTGAAACTCGACTAACCACTAAACAGCACTTCAATATACCACAATACCTGACATATCGTACTGACCACCCTGACGGAAAAGCACATGCCGGTACTGCTGTAATTGTACACCAATCCCTCTCCCATCACGTACTCCCATTACCAATACATGATTTCCTACAGTCCACCGCTATCGTGATAAAAACCTTCTCCTTTCCGGTCACTCTTGCATCAGCGTATTGCCCTCCTAACCGATCCATATCCAATGCCCAATTCAGTTCTCTCCTCGACTCCTTAGGACATCACTTCATCTTGGGTGCAGACCTAAATGCCAAGCACCAACAATGGGGTTCCAGAACCACGAATTCTCGTGGCCGAACCCTGCTGTCTGCACTCAATTCCCAACGTTTTCACCTCCTTTCCCCCAACTCTCCTACCTACTGGCCCACAGATCCCAACCGTAATCCTGATCTTCTTGATTTCTTTATCCACAGCGGCTTAAGTCCCCTCAATTGTTCCATTACACGTCTAAATGAACTTTCCTCTGACCATAGTCCTCTAATCCTTAATGTTTCACTTGAACCTGTTCCCAAACCTTCTCCACCGTCATTCATTAGGGGCCCAGTAAACTGGGACCTTTTCCGCCAAATAATCTCCGATAATATTGATCTCAACATATCCCTCAAAACTCCCGATGACCTTGATAGTGCCGTAAATTCCTTACTACCACAATCCAACAAGCCGCCTGGACTGCCTCCTTCCCAAAAGACTCCTCCAGAATTCCTATAAAGACCATTCTACCCCAACACATCCTTAACCTAATCCGCACCAAACGCCGTGCCAGATTATTATGGCAACGTACCCGACATCCTACCGACCGCTGCTCCTATAATTACTACTGCAAACAATTAAAACTGGAATTAGCCACCTTCAGATCACAATCCTTCAACTCCTACCTATCCTCCCTCTCTTCTCGCGACAATTCCCTTTGGAAAACCACAACAAAAATCCTAAATCCTCACCGCATTTCCCATCCTCTCCGACGAGGTGATGGCTCCTGGGCAGCATCTGACGAAGATAAAGCTGAGGAGTTCGCCATTCACCTATCCAATACATTTATTTCACATCCGGAATCCCATCCTGCCCACACCGTAACAGTAGAAGAACTCCTTACATCACCAATCCCACTTTCCTTGCCCCCAAAAGCTATTCATCCTTCCGAAGTAAAATTTCAATTAAAAAAACTAATCCTCCGTAAAGCTCCTGGACATGATCTCCTTACACCTCAAATCCTTCGACAACTTCCATCCAAAGCAGTCATATTCCTTACATATATCTACAATTGTATCCTACGCACCACCCACTTCCCTCTGTTATGGAAACACTCCACTATTATCCTTTTCCCAAAACCAGGAAAACCTCTCAATAGCTCAACATCCTATAGACCAATCAGCCTACTCCCAATCCTTTCAAAAATTTTTGAAAAGATCCTTTTGAAACGAATCCTACCCATTATAGAATCCCAAAATATCCCTTCCCATCAGTTTGGTTTTCGCTCTCAACATTCTACTGTTCAACAAGGACTCCGAGTTGTTGATCATATTTCCTCAGCCCTAGAAAACAAGGAATACTGTTCGGGTGCCTTTCTGGACATTGCACAGGCATTTGACCGGGTATGGCACTCCGGACTGCTCTCCAAGCTTAAAATCCATTTACCTCAGTCCTTGTACCTAGTCCTCCGATCCTACCTCTCTGACCGCTCCTTTCGAGTTCGCTGTGGAACAGAATTTTCCAATATCTACTCCGTTAAAGCCGGTGTTCCCCAAGGCAGCGTCTTGGGTCCCGTGCTTTACATCCTCTTTACTGCTGACATCCCTGTTCATCCCGATACTTTTCTTGCAACATTCGCTGACGACACCGCAATCTTATCATCCAACTCTGATCCCGAAATAGCATCCTTAAATCTCCAAAGTCACCTCACCTTGATTGAGCACTGGTGTAATAACTGGCGCATTAAAGTTAATGAATCTAAATGCCAACATATTACCTTTACACTCCGACGCAATTCCTGTCCACCAGTACTCTTTAATTCCATCCAGCTTCCTTATTCAGACACAGTCCGGTATCTTGGCTTTCATTTAGACCGAAGACTAACTTGGAACCCGCATACTAGACTCAAAAGACAAGAACTCAACCGACGATACGGCCAACTATACCGACTACTAAGCAGAAAATCTAAACTTTCCATTGAAAACAAGCTACTGATCTACAAGACAATACTGAAACCTATTTGGACTTACGGACTAGAACTGTGGGGATCAGCAAAATTTTCTAACATCAAGCGCATCCAATCCTTCCAGTCTAAAGTCCTTCGAACAATAGTCGATGCTCCTTTCTATGTATCCAACAAAACCCTACATCATGACCTTAACATCCCATTTGTCCTAGACCTTATCCCAGAAAAATTCTCCAAATTTCACCAGAACCTTACTTACCACCCAAATCCTCTTGCACAATCCCTATCAAGCATCTCCCATTCCTATAATCCTCCAAGAAGGTTGAAACGGCAGTGGCCTCGCGACCTTTTGTAGATTATATAAATTGGAGTTCTGGCAATGGCCTGATTCTTCACTCAAGACATGTGTGTATGTGGCTAAAGTGCTCTCGACCATTCTCCGCTGGCTTTAGTACCAGTGACGCGGTTGGGAGAGTAGCGCAGGGTTCTCCTGGAGTTCCCTCGCCTGATTGTATATAGGTATGCATGTGTTTTTTTTTTTTTTCCTTAGTTTTAATTTTCTTATTTTTTAGGTTATTTTATTTTATTGTCTATTGTATATACTTTTGATTATTATTTTGTTCTATTTATTTTATTTTTTTGTACATATGGCGTGAATGTCATCCTACCTCACTATAACCAATGTCCAACAGACAGATTGTTATAATACTCAATAAAGAAATTTAAAAAAAAAAAATTAGTTGTGTTCCCAGGTCAACAATTCGAGATCTTGACGCACCATCATGGGCATTTTTTCTTAAAAAATTTTCAACATTTCATGTACCGCAAATCGAGGTTACTTAAGGACCCTGGCGGACTGGAACATTATATAGGATACTGGAACATTATAATATATATATATATATATATATATATATATATATATATATATATATATATATATATAAATATATATTATACTGGAACATTATATATTATATGAAACTGGCGGACTGGATTATATAGAGACTGAAGTAAAGTTGTCTAAATATAAAAATGTTTTAGACCGCCAGGAATTTCATAGTCAAAATAAACCTTAATACATAGTCACCCCACAATCCCAATGTAACCCCGGTTTACGGTATATTATTATGCTTCCATTTACAACTAATTGAAAATATTGTGTATCGCAGGCATCAGCATGGACTGGGTCATCCGGGACAATTACACCACGCTATCCAATGGCTCTCAACCGGAAGCCATCAACTCCTTCTACTTTTATCAGGTATATGAATTAGTATTGATATAAATTATAGATATATGAATCATAAAAATATCTATTTATTTTTAGTACAAATAAATAGACTTTCCCATACTACGCCTTAATGACCAGCCAGTCTCTTACTCCTGTGTTAAATATTTAGGAATTTCATTGACCAAAACCTTTTTCTGGAATCAATTTATTTCTTAGATCTCTCGACGGACAATTTCCATCCTCAAACTATTCCATCGCTTCCGCCATCTTCTACCTCAATATACGCGTAGACTCTTAATCTCCTCTCTCATTTTCCGCCACTTTGACTACAGCTGTGTGGTGTATGATGGCCTCTCCGTGGAGCTCCGCGATGGACTGAAAAGACTAACGAACAGTAGCGTAAGATTTGTGATTATACTCCCATGTTAAGATATATACTCCATGTCTCTACGATACTCCATGTCTCCAAGATACTCCCATGTCTCTCACCACTACGCTTAGATAAGGTGGCTTTTCCCCTACTTCAGAGGAAAATATTTCCTAGGTACGTTCCTCTACCAAATCATCAACAATCATTGTCCTTCTTACGCCTACAACCTTCTCCAGTTCAAAGCCTCAGTCCATTCCCTTTCCACAAGATCTCGACCTTCTAACCTTTACATACCTTCTCACAGATCTGCCTCATTCCAAAACTCCTCTGTAAATTTCTGGAATTCCCTCCCTATCAAAATTCGACATTCCCCATCTATATCCACATTCAAACCCTCCTATTCCAATCCCTATCTCAAAAACAGATAGTTGGTAACCATTTAAAAACATACATTTATTTCATGCCATTCATTGTCAAATATCAATGCTATTCTTTGCTAGGGATATTAATTTTCTTATAGGGTAAAGATTTTCCTACTCTTTATGTCATTGAATGCATCTATTAGTAGCTTGTAACTATTATCTTTTATACACCACTCAATTCTTGCCTATTGTTACGTTAAGAAATGATGATGTATTTATATATTAATCAACATTCAAATGATAATGTATTAATATATTCATCAGGCACTTTATATTGTCAGGTTCAGCTTTCTGTTTCCTCAACAGAAACACAAAGCTTATTTTAATGAAGAATTTAATATATTTTTCTTTATTGTTTTCTCAAAAGTGTATACTGATCTATCAGTGCAAATAGCTTTAAGTGTCTTATCATAGTGTTAATTGTTTTGTATATAGTTTCGTTTGTTTTGTATATAGAATATTTACCTTATATTTTCTTTACATTATTTCTTTTTTTCTATTGATTTTATTTAGACTTGATGTAATCTTTTAATTTTGTTCTATTTTGTTATTGTCAAGGGGCTCTGTCCCAGAATAAATTTATTTTCTATCTATCTATATATACTTACTGGTTTATTTATTTTAATTTTTGATTTAAATGGCACCATTTTTTTTAATATGAATGGTCAATTTAATTTCATGATTATAATTATTGACAAGTGACAAATGCTTCGCAAAATATTACTGGGATTTTTGGATTTTTGTACGAGCTATGGGCTCGTCGAAACATAAATAATACCAACTGCATGTACATGAAATACCGGTCTTCAGATGGTGAAAAATGTGGTCGTAATTTCCTCTCAGTACGAGATATTTCTTTACCATTAAACGGAACTTGACATAAATGTTTAACAGTTAAAGCAAAGAATCGGAGAGGGTGACGTATGGCACAGACCATCCGCAGCAGCCATAAACCATCGAACATACCGTACACACTTGTTCCATTAGTAAGATTTGCATAAACCTCTGGAGAATGGTGCGAAGGATCTGATCTATGTGGAAACGTCTGCAGAGTTACTCGATAGTTCTGGTTTCGGCTCCTTAGGTAGGAATGTCGTGGAGGTAAAAGGTAAAAGGATACGATATTCCGGGAACAGTAAATTTAGCAGCAATGGGGTATCTTAGCGAGAACTTAGGTTTAAAGAATTCTGCAACTCTATCCAGGACTATTCATTTCCAAGAAATAACTGTGGACTCTAAAAATTGGATCGATACTAAATGAAAATAATTCAATTTAGTTAAAATTTATAAATAACTTTAAGATTTCATATTTTAATTTTTATTTATTAAGAAATAATCAAGAGCAAAAGTGACTTTTGCGGAATTACAATAATTTAATTTTTAATATGTTTAAATAATATTAATTACATTTATATATTGCTAATGTGGAATATTATGGCGATAAGTAGACTCTGGATTAATATGCATTAGAACATCCTCACCTATATTATCTAAAATGTAAGATAAACCTGGGTCTGCACTACAAATTTATTTTAAGTTGAATTATATTTCATAAAAATCTGGTTCGCGTATCACACGGCTTTCACTTAACACCCTCTTCTTATACAAAGGGGAAGTGAAAGTAAAAAATTAAGGACGTCATATTTATTTACAATTCATTGTGTTTATTTTTATTTGTTTAAATATCATTATATGTACACATTTTATTTTTTGTATTGTATTATATACAATTAAATATTAAATAATACCAACAATAGCATTTATGAAAACCGCATATGAACATAATATTGTCGGAGTCTGTATAGTATGGAGCTCATGTTAGGTATGAAAAACTTGTAATCTTTCGAGCAAGCCCGTGTTCTTTTGATTCCTCTATTACAACTATTATCCGTTACGATCACGGGCGGATCTACGGGGGGGGGGGAGGGCTTTCGGGCTGAAGCCCCCCCCAAAATGGCAAAATATAACCATGTTTTATCGAAAAAAATATTAAAAAAGTATCTCTTAAAGTATTATTGTTCGTGTAATTACATTTAAAAGGGCTTTAGGGGTCACTTAAACACCATTTCATATAGGTAGATAGTTTCTTTCTTTTTTTCCAAAGTAATTATCGTTATTTTTATGAAAAAACAACTTTCGGGCTTAAGCCCCCCCCAAAAATAAATCCTGGATCCGCTAGTGGTTACGATATCTTATTTCTCATTTAGTTAATTATCTAATTCTTTCATATTTTATATTTAACTGTTTTTCATTTCAAAAATTAATATGAAATGGTTAATTATTTCAAATAAAAAAAATGAAGGTACTTTAGAGGAAGCCCAATATTGAATATTAGCCATTTAAGCCCTAATAGAGAACATCAGTGAGAATAAAGCCTGCATTATATTAAAAACTGCTTAATACTGATAAAATGATATACTGAGCTTAATCAAAATCGTTAGTGCCGTTTTTTGAGAAAATTGTAAACATGTGTTAAATCGTTAAATCTCTCATGTCTTCCGGTTTGCCAATTTTGACGAAAATTTTGCTGTAACATTGAAAGCTTATAAAAACCTTGAAAAGGCAATTTCACTTTCATACGACTTTTCCTTTTTGAGCTAGACTGATAATGTACACATAGACCATTTTGCAGGACTTGACCACAAAACTTGTATTTTCGTTGAAAACTCGGGCTCGAAAATTTTCATGATCACAATACTTACCCTTACTATATATTGCATATATAAGTAAGTGAAAGTAAAAATTATAATTTATACTGTATAATTTATCCCTATAGTTCATGTTATCTTTTTTTAATTTTAATTAAGAAATTATATAAAATATATTATTAATTAATACATTATTGAGACAAAAAATATTAAGAAATAAATTATAAAACACATTCACTCTTATTTACAATATTTACAGTCAGTCTAGGAATCCATGAGCCTTCCTTTCACATACACAAGGCAAGCTGAGAGATCCCAGGACTTTTCTCTAGTCCAAGGGTGCCCAAAAGGTGGTTTCATGGTGCAAGTTGCGCCATCAAAATTTTTTGAGGGTAACACATTTCGAACAGGTTATGAATATTCAAAATGAAATGTTTCAAACTAGGGTAAAAAAAGAAGGAAGAACAGAGCAGGCCACTCAAAGTATAATTGTATATTACCTATGATTTCTAAAATTATACTTTAGCTTACATTGTTATTAAAAAGAGGAGAGCAATAAAATATTTTTGGAGAAGGAGGGGAGGGAGTTTATGTGCCATCGACTTAGCAGGGGATAAACACCTTTGCTCTCTCCTACATCACCAGTATGAGAATAAATATAAAGAAAAATAAACATAATTCATTTATATGCATATTATATTAATTTATATACATTATATTAGTAAAAAAAGTGAATAATTTGTAAAAAACGATGATTTGAATGGTTATGCCTGAAACTTTTTCTTGAGGAACTATTTAAATAAAAGATTGAAATAATTTAAGTGTTTAAATATTATGCCAGAAAATTTAATACTGAAAAACTAAAAAAAAACCTTCAGGAACAAAGCATGTGGTAAAGAAAAAATAAATTAAATTTATTTAGTTCGTTAAATCTGCGCATAAATCTATTTTCTCTCGCATTAACACCAAAAAAAAAAAAAAAAAAGAAATTAAATGGCTTTTACTAGGTTTGTAAATAGTTATATAAAACTTATTCAAAGTGCAATTGATTAGAAGTAGAAGTTAGGTATTAGATGAACACTTAATGGAATCTGGTAATATTTAAACTTACATTATAACTGTTAAAATCAGATAAAAAATATGAATGTATGTTTATTCCGACATAACAATTATGAATTTATTTTGTTAAAGACTGAGCAGCTGAGCCTGTTATCATTTCTTCTAGCAGCCATAGTCCTAGGAAATGTTTCTGTACTCCTCGCTCTTCTGCTCAGCAAGAGAAGAAAATCGAGGATGAATTTCTTCATAATGCACCTTGCCTTTGCTGGTAAGTCTTTATTTGATTCACTTATAAATACAATTTAGATTACTTAGACACCATAAAATTAAATTTTATTATTAAAATAGTAAGTTTTCGATTAATAAAATAAAGCCTCCTTCTAAAATAAATCCTATATATATAAGCCTTTTAGTACTACTATAAGCTTTATTGAATAATATCAATATCAAATTTTAAAAAATTGTTAATAATATTGTTTAGAAATTACTAGATTTATATTTTTAACTATAAAGCAAATACTTGAAGATGGTAAAAACATATAATTGGATTTACTTCTAATTTTAGTTGTTGACAAATCCTGCTTTTTGTAAAATATTTTGTCACAATCTCATTTAATTAAAGAATGTGAAAAATCACAGTTATAAAAAAAATATGTTTCAGATTTGTCTGTTGGTATCATCAGTGTTTCAACAGATATTATTTGGAGGATTACTGTAGCATGGAAAGCTGGAAATGTCATGTGCAAGTCAGTCAGATTTATGCAAGTAAGCACAATAATCTCCTTTAAAATATTTTATCCATTGCTGGTGGATTTACAGAAAATATTAAAATATTTTAGATCATAAAATAATTATTGATTATTCCATAAACATAAACATTTATATCAGATAAATTTTATTTTTGTAGGCATTAGTATTAAAACTCAATTACTCTAATTAATGTAAATAAGATTGATTTAGTATTAGTTTTGAAGAGAATCTCACTGAATTGAAATGATTTATGATTCAAATTGTAATTTATAAATTTTATTTTAAAAACCCATTGCAGAGGAAGGAAGTTATTAAAACAACTTATTTTAACATTTGAACTATCTATTTATTCATTAAACTAAAAATTAATTACATTTTACATAAAAGAAACCTGTTTGTTATTAAAAAGTTATTACTAAGTAAAGTGATTAGAAATGTTGCATTAAAAAGCTAATTATATATACTTTCACATAACTAAATAATTGAAATATGCTGTAGGTCCACCAGCCTTAGTAATGTAGTTGATGACAGATCTCAATATGTCTGATGCAGCTCTGTTCTGTAGGCAATGGTCACATACTCCTCAACATATGTCCTCGTAGCACTCAGTCTAGACCGTCTTGATGCCATTACTCGTCCAATGAACTTCTCCAGGGGCTGTAAGTGTCCTTAAATAGGATTCAACTTTATAATCTTATATAAGGATCAAAACCATGTTAATTTTATTTAAATTATTATTAAAAGTGGATGAATTTAGATCAACTGGTCTACTGAAGTAAAATATTTGATTTTATCCTTATTTTTTCATGCTTGCTTTAGAAATACTAAATCAGATGGCAGACTAATGGATGCTGATATCAATGGGTTAATATTAATGGATTCTACTTCGGAAGTATGATTATTAAAGAAGGGGCTATTTGGAAGACCTTAAAAACTGAATAAAAAAAGCTAATGGGATTATTCAGCTCTATTTAATAAGGAAGAACAAGAAACTGTCATATAAATTAAAAATATGGTTGCTTAACACCAACATAAAATCAGTCCTACTCTATTGAAGTGAAACATGGAAGGAGACTGAAACCATTACCTGACCCCTGTAGACCTTCATCAACTTCTGCTGGCAAGAAATCCTGGGTATCTGATTGCCTGAGAGGATCTCTAACCAAGAGCTCTGGAGAACTACTGAACAGCTTCCTATCCACCTCCAAAAAGAAGTGAAAATGGATTGGGCATGCTTTAAGGAAAGTTTTCAATGCAAGCTGACATTGCGATAAAAAAAGCAGCTCTTCAATAGAGTTCACAAGACCAAGAAAAAGAGGAAGACCAAAACAAATATGGCAGAGATCTGTGTAAAATAGCCTGAGCCTGGCTAGCAATACTTGGCCAGAAACAAAAATTATTGCTGCAAAACGAGCGGAATGTAACACACTTGTAGATGTCCTATGCTTGTAGGAGTCAATGGTTATAATAAAAAATAAAAATAATAATATTAATGGATTGCCATTGTCTTAATTCATTTATTGATCCAAATGTCATTCAAAGTATCTATTTTTCCTACTCCTATTTTTTTTTCTTATGCCAGGACTCTGGTTTCACTGTCCTATTACACTGCTGGTCTGGTGATTGTCCAGTATTTAGTTTACTTGGCTTTGTGAGTCAAAAGAGGATTTCTCCTAGAGTGCATGTAAACATCTACGGCAAACTGCTAGCATTGATTATATATTTTCTTTAATGACGACTGGCCCCAGATACTTAAAATCATTCACTATTATAGAAATTCTCAACACAAACTGCTGTGTAAGGTTCTTTTGCCAGTCAATTCTGAGGATCTCATGTATTTTGTATTTATTACTATTGGTGTAAAGATCAAGTTGACTCCCACCACAAATTTTCGGTAAGTACCAGATAATGAAGTGAGTGTTCTGCCTGTGATAACCAAATCATCAGAATAGAGCATATGCATTGTTAATCTAGTCATGGTAGTTTCTCTGGGATTGTCCTGATGGATCTCACAACCATTTCTGAGCCTAAATTAAACAATTAAGGGACTATGGATCACTTAGTCTGACATTATGATAAATCATAGGTCAGTTATGTTGAGTTTATATAAATCTTTATTAACACTGAAGCATAGTGACAAAAAATATTATTGACTATTTTAGAAATATCGTGCAATGATAGATTTAATAAATAATACTAACCCAAGATCTTTAATTAATAGCAAGTTTTAGTTTTTGGTATGTCACATTTACTTGTTGTATTTTCTATGTAATACAGTTGTAAATTTCATTAAAATAAAAAATAAAAAAATAAGTTTTTGGTGATAATTTAATAATGAATTAAAAATATAGCCCAATGAGTTAAAGTAATATTACATTTTACCTGTTTGCTTTATTTATATCTTATGAAAATGTGTATGTAATTATACACTCTTGTAAATAGGTTTACATTTTATTTATTTTTGTATAGTTTAATATTAAATTAGATTCTTAAACTGAATAACTTGATTTTACAGGGTCAAGGGCTCGGGTCTTAGTCGCGTCTGCTTGGATACTTAGTGCCATCTTTTCATCTCCTATATTAGTACTTTATGAGGAAAAACTAATCCAAGGTAATGTTAAATTTTATATTAGGTTCATAATTAAGCATGAAAATAATACTGTTCATAAATATAGTAATATTTATAATTTAAAGCATTATATTTTTATCTTTAGATACCCAGCAAAATGTACAATTGACAATTTATTGATAATGTAATTATAAATTTGTAATTATATATTTTATTCTGATTATATATTTTTTAAAACTCTCAAATAACAATTAAATCCTTAATAATTTCAATCAATCTTCTATATTGATTTGTCTGAATAACATTTCCAGCCATCTGAGTCACCCTGAAGCTCATTCTACAACTGAGATCTCTAAACTTTTTGCCCTACAGATCACATTAAGACATCCAATAAGTTCCACAGGCCGCATTGAGACCTCCATTAAGTCTCGGGGGTCATGACTTGTGATGAAAAAAGAAATCTTATTCTATAAATGACAACTCAGTTGTGAAATGAGCTTTTTAAGAGAAACAACTAATGCAATTAATGTAATAGGAACCTCGAGTTTGCGTAATTTACTAAATTGCTATTTTTCAAATAGCTTTTAAATTTTTGTCATGTTATCAAACATACTTTTGTGAGCGTTGAAGACTGCTGTTATATAAAAATTCATATTTAACATTGTAAAACTAATCATTATTCCATTTTCACCCAAATCCTCATTATATATTTCAATTCACAAATTATTTCATTATTATAAGTATTATTTTATTGTTTTCCCTCTTCCTTACCATTTTTAGCATACTATGAAGAAGGTATTCTAGAGGCATAACCAAACTTATCCTAACCAGAGTGGGAAGGTCGCGATTCATTCCGTTGGTCTCCCATGGACTAGATTCAAAACTATCACCAATTGGCACAAGAATGTTAAAACAGGCGATGCTCTAACACACTTGGCCACCACGTCCTCTTTAATTCATAACTTTAACTTACTATTAGAATTAAGTATTAAACCAGTTCTAAAAGAAGTAATTAAATGTATACCTTTTGTTGTTTGACAAATGTTCCCTTTGTATTGTTTCTTTTAGTTGGAATGTGTTTGTTATTATTGTTTATTAAACATTGATAGTTTTAAGATTTCTTCTTGTTATTATTATTATTATTTGTTTACTTTTTTTTCAGTAATTAGATATTAATTTTATTCTAATAATCAACATAGTGTTGACTTATATTTTTTTATATCAGGATTAAAATTAATGTTTAAGTGATAGATTTTAAGATTCTTTTTGTGTTTCTTCTTCTTCTTCTTTGACTACCTCTGATGCCATTTCTAGTGTCAAGAAGCCTCAATCCATTATAGCTGTGCCACTCGGTCCAGGCTAAGCTACCTCATTTCTTGAAGAGTTTTTCCTCTCTACCCTCACATCCACTGCATATACTATTGGTAGGAAATTCTGGTATGGCCTCATAGTCTCCTCCCAAACGATCTAGCTTCCAATGCTTCCTGAGGTTCTTATTCATTCTCCATCCCATATACATGACCAAACCACTTCAGCTGTAGATTTTCAAGCGTGATCTTTAGCTCCACCACCTCCAGCTCCTTTCTTACCCAGACTTGTATATATGCATTTTGGTTTCCTTTTTAATGTCTCTGTGTCCCACTATGGTTTTGCAGATAGGAGGATAATAAACCTGGTTAAGTTTGGAAATTCTATACGCTACTTCTGGGTCAATCTTTCCCATATTGCTATTGTCTGTTCCCAAATAGGTAAATTCCAGTACAACCTCGAGTATCTCACTCTTACAGGTCTGCTGAACATCCGCTTGTTCCTCTCTTGTGAGAACTAATATTTCAGAAGTTTTAACTTTTACTATTTTATATTAGTTTTATTATTCTGGTTATATCTACTCCTGATTTATTAATATTTTAATTTTGAAACTTTAATGCAGTAACAGTAAGAAAATAATTAAAGTAAGTGGAAAATAACATATTATTTTGTGTATATGTATAAGAAGTTTCTAATTTATAAAGTTTCTAATCTATAAATGATCCATAATTTAGGGAGCTTACAGTGCTGGATTGAGCTGGGATCTGAACTGAAATGGCAATTGTACATGTGTTTGGTTGCGCTAAGCCTGTTTATTGTACCTGCATTCATCATTGCAGGTTGTTATACTATTATTGTATACACAATATGGAAGAAAAGTGCACATTTAGCGCCTAACCACCAGGCAATGCCACTGAAGGGTGAGTGTCATTTTAGATTATTTCTTAAACATAATATTATAGCCTTATTAATACCCTACTTCTTTGGAACAATGCTTAGCCTAGCCAAATGTTTCAGATGGGGACAAACATGAAGAAATTGGAGATCTCAGAAGAGCTAGTTCGAGAGGAATAATCCCAAAAGCAAAAATTAAAACTGTTAAGATGACTTTTGTGATTGTGTTTGGTAAGTAAAGTCAGGGGGGTGTCTATCTCACTCAAGAGTGATGGGGCTCCTCCCAAGAAATTGAATGGCCCTCTTTTAATTTAAAATTCCTTCTTAAAATGATGCAATAGTTCATGGAAGACAGGGGCGGATTGGCTGAGTGGGCTAATGTGTGTGCACAGCACTGCGCATTGCTTGGCATCCTGGATCGGAGATATTTGATAAAATGAATTCGAGTTTGTGACCTGGTGCCAGGAGAGGCTTTTAGCTATAGAATTCATCCCCGCCCTCACCCTCTGGCCTAGGAAAACCCTATATATTGTCTAAAAGACTAGAAAGGGGAGGACCAAACAAAATCCAGGAAAGACTATTTTTCCCCTTTCTTTTCTTTTCTCTTCCGAAAGGGTCTACCCTCAGGTAGTTCTTCCCCACCTTCCAGGAAAGATTAAAGACGACATGGGTCCTCTCTGACTCAGGATCTTGCAAGTTCTCACACGGCATGAAGGGGTCACATGGCAGAGTCCCTGACAATGCAGAACACATATTGGTATCCTGCGCTGTGACGGAGGGACACCGTGTATGATTGATGAGAAGGACAGGCATGTTTACCCTCGAAGAAGCAGACTTCACTCGCCTAATTGAAGAGGAAAACTACCCGTTCCTTCGGGAGTTTATGTATGGGTGGAAGGATGGGACAGGCCCTACACACTTCTCCCTGAGAATGGCAAGAGTCTCAGTAGTAGGAGGTGAGAGAAGAGGAAGTAGATTGAGGTTAAAGGATTAGACGGATGCAGTGTGGATAAGGTGCACAACCGTGTACCAGGCCATAGTCAATCCAATCTATTGCTCCAAAAAAAAAAAACTGTCCAAAAATATTGAAAACAAAATAAATATGATCAATAAAGTGTTGATTATTGGCTGCAGTGGGCATAGCAGAACCCTGACTTATTAACCCACTTCTGCCAAGATCCTGTATAGCAGCAAGGCCAGGTAGGGAGGAAAAAAAAAAGAAAGATGGTGTGAACAGTGGTAGATAGAATCGGGAAGATCATTTATATAGGAATTAAAAAGAAGAAATATTATATATATTATTTACATGTATTAGTGGACTATCAAAGTTGTAGTAAATTTTATTCTTTTTAAGTTGGATATGCTAAATTTAATGAGTTAAATTTTATACCACAGTGCATACACAGATGGAGAGAATTTGAATACTTCAATTTTTTTGGTTACCATAAACACTATATACAGAACTTATTGAAAAATCAGAAATGCACAACCTCTTGTACGGTGCATTTCTTTTGCAAATGCCATGCTCCCATCTTTTGATCTTTGAGATAAACTGGTTGATAAACCTAGCTTATAATTTGATTTTTAATTTTCTCAATTTAAAACAAAGAAGAATATAAATTATACATACATTTAGTCATAATACAAAAACATAAATATTTGTTTTAATAGTGTGTATTGTTAGGATTATATTAGCTTTATGATAATAACATTATATAAAATAACAATAAAAATATAACTTCATTATAATTATGTATACTTAACAGTGTTCATCATCTGCTGGAGCCCATATATCATCTTTGACCTTTTGCAAGTGTTTGGACATGTCCCTCGGACCCAGACAAATATTGCTGTTGCAACTTTTATCCAGAGCCTTGCTCCTCTCAACTCAGCTGCCAATCCAGTTATATACTGTCTGTTTTCAACTAGGGCATGCACAACATTAGGGTATGTATATTCAATTACATTTTTAAGGTTAATATACTTATTCAACCCTCCTTTTTTTGTTTTTTTAAAGCCTTGTGCTTCTACTTGAAGTCTAAAAATAGAAACTTGTACATATTAAATAAGAAAAAAATTAAATCAGCATATAAATTTAATGAATGAGTTTTTTTTTATGGAAAAGAATGGAAATTAGGAGCTATTCCTTGGTGGTTGCTTGATTACAAGATAATTTAAAATGAAAAGAGAAGGTTCGGCAGGTTTACCAGAACATCTAAAGATGAGAATTGATGAAGACCCAAGAAGATGGAAAAGAATTATCAGAGAGGACACAGTTGATGAATGGAACTGGCGATGGATGGAAACTCCGAAAAGGGCTACTCTAAGAAAGTACTTCCCCACTGTCAAGTCATGATTAGATACAAGATTGGTACTCTTGGTACAAGATTAGATGGTAGATTGGATCACTGGGTGTCTCAACTCCTCATGGGACATGGGGGCTTTCGATCGAAGCTTGGTAAACACAGGAAGAATATTGATCCACTATGCCCCACCTGCAACATTCCGGAGACCGCCGAACATGTGGTCCTCGAATGCACTGCCTGGGAGAAACTAAGAGCTAAGCTTCTGCGAGAGATGGGGATATGTACGCTGACAGAGAGCATGTTCTCCCAGCTAATGAGCAGAGAGAATTACCCACACTTTAGGGAATTGCTATACTGGTGGAAAGATGCTGTAGGCCCTACACATTTTTAATCTGGGAAGAAGAGAAGGAACTTAAGACAAGCTGCAGCTGCTTCAAGGACTGGCTTCAGATGGAAGAAGGAGAAAAAATGGAGAAAAGAAAAGGCATGGACTTGTGAACACAAACAAGTTTACACCTCAGTGTCCACAATAACAATTATAAATAATAAATGTTAAACAAATGTTCATAAAATAGACCTGTACTGCCAGCAGTGGCATAAGCATATACCCTGCGTAATAATCCATTTCTGCGGCAACCTGTATTTTCTGAAAGGCAAGGCAGGGAGGAAAAAAAAAAAGGAATACAAGATAAAAGATTAAGAGGAGTGTGCCCACCAAAGACATCTTAGTAAGTCAATTAAATCATATGTTATACAGTTTGGTTTCCTTCAAAATAAAAAGGCTGCCAACTATTTCTCAATTTCACAATCAGAGAAAGTAACAGAGGGAGTGCAAACACTACATAATTCTTTGTTTGTGAAGCTCTCCACCTTATCACATTATAATTATTATTTTTCATTATTTATTTGGATATTCTTATATTCACTTATCTATATCTAGATTCGCTTTAAATATATATATTTTTATATTTATATATTAATAATTTGTAAATACATTATTTATTTATTTGTTATATGTATTGTTAATTTCCATTTTATTTGCTTGCTTGGAACATCTTTAAAAGTGATTATCTGATTCACAATTTATGGATATTACACGATAATAAAATTTATTATTTCATAAAATTGCAGGTTGTGCTTTCGATGGGCTAAATTTTACAATTTTTTTTTAGGACTATACTTGGACTTCAATAGCATAAAATATTTTTTTCTATTGGCTTTACAGATCTCTGGACATCTGAACCAGTGCTCTCCATCTTTGCCTATCTTGGCCTGCTGCTTCTTGGTTTGCTGCATCGAGCTCTGCAGTATTTTTTCTGATTCTATATATCCTTCTCTTTTTTAGGCCTTTTACTTTTGCCAACTTTTGTGGCATTCATTGCTACGTAGAGGCTTTCTGATAGGTTGATTCAATCGGTTTGTACCGCCAACATGACCTTCATCTCATGAAATATAGACTGACCAATTTCTGAAAGTAGTTAGTTCTTTATTAGTATTTCCTCTTCATGAGTTAGGAAATCCTAACTAGCTCAGGTTACCATGCTGATGATTTTCCTCTCAGATCTTTCAATTATAATTTATAAGTTGTAGTTAGAATCTTACAGAGCCTATTTTGTATCCGTAAGGACATCAGAAATAATGCCAAGTTCTTGGAAAAAGTCGATACTGTGCCCAATCCATAAAAAAGGGGATGTACTTGAATGTAAAAATTATCGAGGTGTATCACTGTTGCCTTGTGCATATAAAACATTCTCAAACATTTTATATATTGCGACTTCTGCCATATGTGGTGAGGTTGCTGGGAAAATATCAGTGCAGGTTCCACAAAGGCAGATCAACAGTCGATCAGATTTTTTCACTCCTTATTACACTGGAACGAAGCAGAGAGTATTGCATCCATACGAATCACCTGTTTGTAGACTTCAAAGCTCCTTATGATAGTGTACTATGTGAACCTTTTTATCAGACGATGAGGGAACTAAGTATCCCAGAGAAACTTATTCAATTGGTTAAATTAACAATGGCAGAATCAATGTATGTGGTGCGTGTACACGGCGAATTGTCAGAGATGAGCTTTGCAACCAATGGCGTGAGACAGGAAGATGCGCTGGCATGTCTGCTCTTCAACATTGCATTAGAGAAAGCGGTACGAGATGCACATATACAAATAACAGACACAATAGAATGGTTCAGATCCTTGGTTATGCGGACGATCTGGATATTGTCTGTAGATTCAAGACTGCAGTTCATGAGACTTTTCTTGCACAGGAAGCAACAGCTGCACAACTGGGACTTCCTGTAAATGCTTTGAAAACCAAGTATTTGACTTCCGGGTTTGGTATCTTGACAGATAATGTGCAGTTTAACTCCTATGAGTCCTATGGGTGGATGAGTTGGTCTACATGGGATGCCTGATAACTGCGGCAAATGACATTACAAAGGAAATTGAGAGGAGAAAAATCATTGCTAATCGATGTTACTTTGGGCTAGGAAGAAATTTAAGGAGCAAATATCTCCCAAAGACAACAAAACTATGGCTGTATAAGACGTTGATCAGGCCGGTCCTGAAGTACTCCTCAGTCATGGATAATATCACGGATGAATGAACTAAGTTTAATGGTCTTCAAGAGAAGAATTCTGCGGCGAATTTATGGACCTAGAAGAGTCAGTGAAATATACCTCAGTAGGAGTAATCAAGAAATATATAATCTCCTTGGTGATGTTGACATTGTGAGGCATATTAGGCTGGAGAGAATGAGGTGGGCTGGCCATGTAGCAGGGATGAGATCCCCAGAAAAATAATGAGTGAGGCCATTCATAGTACCATGCATAGAGGAAGACCGTGTTTTAGATTGATAGATTGCGTAGCAGAACATGCCCAGACGATACTAGGGAGAGCTGCTGCCCAATGGCGTGCAGACTGATGGAAGTTATTGGAGGAGGCCAGGGATCAGTAATGGTCGAGCCAATGGAAGAAGAATGTTAGAAACTAGATTTTGCAGTCATATATCAGCACAGCGTTTTCATATTTTTTTTACAGCCTTAATTTGAGATTTTTTTCAGGATTTTAATACTTATGAAAGAGAGAAGAGAGATGTGCCTGTTACACACTGGTCCATCTAGACAGTTGGTAATTTATTGATATTATAGGGGAACCAAATTATCTGAATCAATCTGCTATCAGTAACGATCTTCCATCTAGGCAGAGAGATATGTGATCCTGTTGTTGGGGTGGATTTTTCAGCTTCGTATTTTGTTTTATCTTCATTTTGGTATAGACTGATATGCTCTTATCAGAGTTTTAGTAAATAACTCAATGTACTCTTCTGCATATCCTAGAATGGTTTGATTCATTTTGACATGTGTACTTCCAATTTTATTGAATGTTTTATCACCTTGTCCAGATTTAAGTTAAACAGAATTTGGGAGAACCCATCTCTCTGCCACAAGCCAGTTTGAACTTTTAAGACTTCAGATACTTCTTCCCATATCAGCAGTCAGCATTTAGGATCATTTGTAGAAGCCTATCCAATCTTCAGTTCCTACTGATAAAAATATAAGTAGAGCCTGGATCTCTAAGTTATTGCTTTTGTAAAAAGCTTTGAAACCGATTATCTATACAATTCACAATTTGTGGACTAATGTATTAAAATTTAATACTGCACAAAATTTCACATTTGGTTCTTTTTGGTCAAAACTGGTTAACAATTGGTTAATGTGCATACTTTTGAACATTTTTTTAAATTTTATATTTTGTCTAAATTATAAATACTCTTGATGTAAAAATATTATCTATTAATAAAAACCGATGGTTTTGGTCTTATTTAAAGTTTTATACCACCAATTTTATATATTTTGGTTCATTACAGCTTGATTTTGCACATTTGGAATTTTCACTTCATGAAAATTGGGTCTCTAATTATAAATAACATTATTTATTTATAATTATTATTTTTAACATACAGTCGTAATAAAATGAATTTCAAAACAGTCCATTATATCAAGAAAAATAAGAAACAAAACCCAATATTGTTCATATCTCTCCCTATTTTTCTTATTATAAGAATAGTGAATGGATAAACCATTCAATTTAGACTAATTTGCTATGCAAGGGAGTGATTATTAAGAACAAAAACTTGGTAGTGTGTAAACTCCATAAGACAAAATTAACTTTTATGAAAAGAGGAGTTAAATATGCATAATTTTTAAGATTTATTATGTTCTAAAGAAAATATAATCATTATTTACCGATAATGTTAAATAAATTTAAATCTAGTTAGCCATCATATTTCATCATAATTAAAAAAACCTATTGAATTTTAAAAACAGATAGGACTTTTTTTGTAAATAAATGTATCCAAGAATAAATTGAATTTATTTGTTTTCTTTGCAGTAATTATAATATTGAAAAAAACTTCTCTGTGTAGGAAATTGCCACCATTTTCATGGATCTGTTGCTGTTTTGTTTCTCGTGGACCTGAAACGAGTAGCATTATTGACACAGTTACTTCTACCCTCAGAAGAGCCACGATGAGGACACAGGATAATCTTTAAATGCTGATAAATTGATTATGGATGTTTCATAAATTGAAAAATAATATGTACAATGAATTTTATTTATTTATTTATGAATTCATTTTAACTATAATACCATGAATCGATAGGATCGTCTTATTCTTAAAATGGAATATTGATATTATGTACTAATTCTCTATCAGATAGTTTCAATTGTTCAAACTTGAAGAAATAATGGATTTTCTCTTTCTTTAGTCAAAATCTAAAGTTTATAAGCTATCTAAGGAACCATGACAAGTATTTACTGTCTTTTTCTATTTTTTTTTGGGAGCAAGAGTGACAAATTGTAAAAAGTACTGATAGAATATTCTTTAAGAAAAACAAATGCAAAAATGTGATTTGTATCTTTCGTCACATTGTAAATAGTAATTGTGTGTAAAAGAGATGATATACAAATATAGATAAACAATAATAACTATTTAATTTATATGAAATAAATATACAAGACAATAATATGTTTATTATAACTGTACAGATGATTGTAATGTCATATTTATATGCAATAATATAAATCTCTAATGATTACATATGTATATATTTTCCTGTTATAAGTAGTTTTCTTTATTAGTTTTATTTCGGTATTTATGTTGTGTAATATGAAACATATTGTAGTGATGGTTCTTTATATATAAAAAATATAGATCTAATAAAAGATTAAACTTCAATTTCATTTTTTCTGTCCCATTTACACCCATCAACAGATATAGTTTATTTACTTTAATGTTTCATTTCTATTTATGATACATTTTATTATATTTACATACATGAATGATTTATAATAATATTTTCATTTAATTGCAACTCTTTTACAGATCTTAAAAATACGTATGTAAAAAGTTTTCATAAATATTTACATATTAATTACATGGTTAAGATCAGGCTATGCTCAGCATGTCATAGTCAATTGAAGGTGGTGACAGAACTGATGTCAGTATTGAATAGGTGAGTATGACCTGAATGGCGTATGACGTGAATGACGTATGACGTGAATGACGTATGACGTGAATGACGAATGACGTGAATGACGTATGACGTGAATGACGTAAGACGTGAATGACGAATGACGTGAATGACATATGACGTGAATGACAAATGACGTGAATGACATATGATGTGAATGACTAACGTATGACGTGAATGACATATGACGTGAATGACGTATGACGTGAATACCTTACGATGGATCCAGTAATTTCTATTGTCGGGTTATTTTTTTAAAAATGAAATCATTATGGTTTCCATTGCTTGTAACCTATTATAGATTCCTTAAATATTACGACTTGTTTTTATTATCATATCATTTTCTTTTGCAGGCCTTGGTAATTATTGTGATTTTAATATGGCTACATAATGGGTGATTACTTTCAATTTAAGGCATCGCGATGAGACCTCTATAATTTTATGTTTAAAGGGCGTTCCGAAAGAGAATATAAGGCCTAGCTTTTTATTTAATTTTTATTATAACGTTATTAGTTAGCGAAAGAGTGAAAGATCCAATGAGTGATGATGACTAATTTATATTATAAATTTAACAATTTTCATAATGATACCTTATATTCTCTTCTTCTCAATAACAATATTATGAAACATGTATCTCGCTACTGTTATTGCAAATGGCTTATGTAAAAATTGAGTGTTTTACAGGAGAGCATAAAAAATAATTATTTCTTTATGATTTATGAGTATAATTTCATATTTTATTGCCCTCTGCTATTTTCGTAGTAGTAGACTACTTATATCAATTGTAGACTACATAATGTCAAAAATACAATAAAAATTTAAAACTTTTACGTACGACATTTGCACTAACAGTAGTGATATATACTTGAAAGTGTTTATGTGTATGTTTTCACTCGTAAAATGGATGGAATAAAAAGTCCGTGGGGAAAATTCTACTTTTTGTTTGTTCGGAGTTGACGAGACCAATACTTTTCTTCAGTCAGAACCAAACTAATTTAAGCTGGAATATAAAAATATGAGTGAAGTGGAAACAATTTTGATATTTAAGCAGAAAATCGAGACCACGACGAGCTGATTGAACTTCAATGGCAATAAACACAATCACAAATAACACTTTTTTTTTTTACAAATTCAGAGTAAAAATTACTTTAAATTTACTAAAAATTACATGAAATCAATTTATGTAACGGCAATATGTGTCATGCCAGTAACGTTTAGGCTCGACTAAACAATATAAATCTATCGACTAAACAGTATCAATCAACTTATTGAATAAAACCTAAAATTTTATAACCCCATAACAATATTGTAATAACCTAACTCCTACTCCATATGATCAGTGCCTTCCACATTTCACAGCCATTATATTGTTAATAATTATTTATATTAATTTTAATAATTAAATAGAATTGATACTAAGTAATTTCTACACTGTTCACCAAATTTCCTCCAAGTGGAAGTATTTTTATTTGGAATATTAGATAGAATTTGATAAAATTTACATCTATTTGATTTTGCGTTTACCAATCCCTAAATTCCCTCCAAATTTGAGCCAAATCGAACTTGTGTTTTTAGAGATTAGGCGTATCAAGGAAAACACGTTTGATCGTATGTAAGAGAAACAAATAAACAGAATTCAATAAAATTGACCCTACATTATTTTTTCACAAATACCTACATTTTATCCAAATTTGAGCCAAACCGAACGAGGTATTTCTGAAATATTGGCATATCTACAAAAATGCGTCTGCGTGTGCGTAAGCGGAAGTGCTGGTCAGAATTCATTAAAATTGATATGGGGACATCTAGACACCAACCCGAACAATTCCTTAAAATTTCATGAAAATCAGATAAACGGCAGTAGATGATATGTCCGTTACATCAATTTGACTACAGACAGACAGACACTGAACCAAATTTGATCCTTGATGTCTGAAACGTAAAACGCGAGTGAAAATTTTCGATTCTGAGCAAAACATTTTTTTTAACCTCTCGCACGAATACAGTGCTTCCATACCTTCAGTAGTGAGGAAGCAAAAAACTATTACAAGGTGAAAACTTTTTTCAAAAGATCTTTTATTGCGATTTCTTTTTGGCGATATGAATAAAATTGTTACAATTGTTGTATAAAAATTATAGAAAATATTTTGAACATATCATTATGAAAATTGTTAAATTTATAATATAAATTAGTCATCATCACTCATTGGGTCTTTCACACTTTCGCTAACTAATAACGTTATAATAAAAATTAAATAAAAAGCTGGACCTTATATTCTCTGTCGGAACACCCTTTAAATATAAAATTATAGAGGTCTTATGCCTTAAATTAAAAGTAATCACCCATTGTGTAATCATATTAAAATAACAATACTTATCAAGGCCTGCAAAAGAAAGTGATATGATAATCAAAACAAGTCGTAATATTTAAGGAATCTATAATTGGTTCCAAACAATAGTTACATGGGAGTAAAAACACAAGAATTCAATTTTTTTTAAATAACCCGACGATGGAAATTACTCTATCCACCGTAAGGTAAAATTACGTGAATATCTGCAAACTTATCTTATACAAAAATAATGTAACAGACCTGTTACTACTCATAATATAAGATCGTCGATTTTTTTATACCAATGAGATCAAAAATTGATGGGCTCTTAGCGAAAAACCTTACAGCAAGTCCATCAGCTAAAGATTTTCCTTTTAGGAAGAATTAGAGGAATTTTATCCTGAACATTGTTGATATGTTATTAAAATTTGAAAAGTATCAATTATTATATATTCATTTTTTAATTTCACCCCCATTCTTACCTTGTTTCATCAAGTTCAAGTAGGTCAGATACAGATAGATATGTATGTATTGATTTCTGAACACTATTTGGGTATACACTGACTTTGCCTGATGGAAATATAATATATTCCACGACACGTTACATGGCCACATCCGTGACAAATAAGCAACCCAACGTTGTACTTTCCATCATACATGATATATTAAAATAAATATTTTAGGTTTAAGGGTCCTCAATGCTCCTTACTTTATCACAAATAAAATAATCCATAACGACCATAATATTCCATATGTTTTCGATTTGGCCCAATCCAGATACCTATCCTTCCATAATAAACTTCATAACCATCCTAATCCTCTTGTTTCTAACTTTGCTTCCTCTTCGATTCCTGATAACCCTCCGAGGCGAGTGAAAAGAAGATGGCCTCGTGATCTCGTCTTGTAGACATTATTATAATACTACTAATGAGTAGTTTCTCAACAAGCGTTTTCATGTTATTATATTCCTCTGTACACATTTACTTGATGTATTTATACTAACTAATACAGTTGTAAATATCATAAATTTAAAAAAAATAATAAAAAACTAGGTATAAGGTATGGAAACTTTTCTCTTCCGTGTATTCAATTTATTCTAAATAATTCTTATTTATCTAGATACATTTGTCTAACGTTTTGGACTCTTTGTCCATCATCAGTGACACCTCCTTTTTCACTTCTGCATGCTATTAATATTTGTCTTTTTTTCCCTTATTCTAATTGACTAAGGTGGTATAATAATTGTCAAATAGAATAAGGAAAAAAAGACAAATATTAATAACACGAAGAAGTGAAAAAGGAGGTGTCTCAGATGATGGACAAAGAGTCCGAAACGTTAGATAGAAGTATCTAGATAAATAAGAATTATTAAGAATAAATTGGCATGCACGGAAGAGAAAAATTCCCATACCTTATACCTAAAATAACATGGAACACGTATTTAAGAAAAAAATAAACACTGAACACCTAATATTAAAAGGAATACAATAAATATACATATATGTTATTTAACTATATAAATTAAAATAAAAAAAATCGTTTGAAATAAGTCCGTTTTAATAAAATGTATTGAAGAAAAAACATAACCTATATTGTTGAAGGAAGCTAGTTGACTGTTCTCCATATCATGGGTGGTAAATATTGAGGACGCAGTGGTTTAAAAAAAATTTTAATTTGTTATTTGTGCCAACGTTTCAACTCAAACATGTGGGTCCTCTTCAGGGCTGAAAATTTTAAAATACAATCAGAGATATAATATTATATCTTATATATATAATATTATATCTTATTAATCTATTTAGAAAGATTTGTAATGTTTTCTCTTACTAACCGTGGTTTGAGCACTGAACCACTCCTATATATATATGTATTATTTTTAGTTTGTATAACTTTTTACATATTTCATTTTTAATATTGTGTATTGTAATAATAGTTAAGATTCATGTACCATCAAATCACAATAGTTTATTGTTTACCATTATAGATCGTATAATATTATATCTCTGATTGTATTTTAAAATTTTCAGCCCTGAAGAGAACCCACATGTTTGGGTTGAAACATTGGCACAAATGAAAAATTAATTTTTTTTTTAAAACACTGCGTCCTGAATATTTATCACCCATAATTTACATTGCTATTCAAAAATTTCGATGAAATGATATTCAAGCAAATAGTAAGTGAAATTAGGTAAATATGTATTTCTAAGAAACGAAATAAAAAAAAATTATAGAGGGTATCCCGTAAGTAGAGGGTAATTTTTATAGGAGTGATAGCAAACCTCAAGAGCTACAAAAAAGTTCTTATATACAATCGGCCAATTTCAACAGAAAATAGAAAATGCAAGTTTTCAGTTTTTTTAAAGAAAATTAAGTATTTTGTCAAA